TTTGGGTCAAACACTCTCCCACTAGGTTTTCGAAGACTTTAGATAGTGAAGTAAGGTAAAAAGAGACAGGTAGATTATGCAGGCAAACAGGAGAATGGCGTTCTTTTCATTGGTACCACACTAAATAACATCAAAAAGTGGTTCTTGAGAAAAATTAATTTTCGAAAAAATAAAAAATTTAATTAAGGCCTCTAAAAAATAAACAGAGACGAAGCTGCGCTTCGCAAACACTTGCGAGAACACGGCCAAAAAGCAGCTCTATCAAGTGAAATGAAAAACGTAGAAAGAAGCCTCGAAATAACAAAAACTTGGCTGGGTCTAGGATTCGATCTACAACTTCCTGCAATCAAGAGACTTTAAGTCACAGGCACTATCCACTCAGCCACGCAAGCTTAACAGCCGAAAAAAGCAGCTACATTTGATAATAAATTGCCAATGCAATTCAGCAAAATGGGACGAAATTCAACTAGACTCAATTTTGCAAAAAGTAATTCGGAATATAACAAACTGATGGCATCAACACTAACTTTACGTGGAACAAATTGCAAAGCATAAAACCGCATTATGTATAAATTTTGCATTTCAAAAAATTGCGAGATATATTGAGTTCATCTTAAACCTTTCTTGTTTTCTGAAAAAAATAAGACTGAAATTCAAAACTTATTTTAGCATGAACCGAAAAAATTAAATAAGAAAGATGGGTCCCGCAAAATTTTAAAACGACAAGTATGCTAATGTAAGCCACGTCCTATAAAAAATGTGTTTTACGATCACGCCTAAGAAACTTCTTCAGGGACCCATGTGAGTTAAAGAACCCATCTAAGTTCAAATTTTTTTGATTTTTTGAAGTTTTTTTAAAACTAAAATTTAACTAAAAAAAATCATAAAACATATCACATTTAACCGGACATTTTTTAAGGCAGGACTTGTAACCCCTGAATGTACCCTGGCAGCATTAAACCATCAGAATGCTAACATTAAAAAGTTTTAAAGTTTTTTCAAATCTAAACTTTTTAAAAATCTAAATCTAATGAAAAAAGGTCATATCTCGGAAGCTATGAGGGTTTAAGCAGACATATTTGAAGGCAAGATTTAGAATCTCTGAGAATATCCAAACAGCGCCCCTCTAAAGGTTTGGTGTTATTCATTAAAATTTCGAAATTGAAAACATTTTTCAAAACTTCAAGACGATCTGTCTAAAAATTAGGCTGACCTAAATAAAAATCTTTATTTATATTTATTCAGAGTTTCATTCATAAAAAATCTAGAATGTTTATGATTTTTGCTGAAACGTTTTCCCCAAAGCCTGCCTTTTAATAACCATTGTCCTCTACGAAAGTTGCTTATTGAAAGTTGCTTTAATAATGCAGGGGAGTTTTCCATCGCCCATCCTTTCGATTGGATTCCAAAAACGATTAAAAAAATCGAAATTTTTTTATTCTAGAGACCATAACTTTGAATTAAAAAAATGGTCGTAGCAGCTAATGTAGATGAACCTCCCACAAGTTGTCCAAAAAGATCAAAAGCGTCTCAAAAATTTAAAAATAAAACTGATCCCATACATTTTCATAATACCTGTTTTTAGTAAAAAGGACTCGGGGCGGAGCAAAGAGGAGGCATCGATTTGATACATTTTGATTTTGTTGTACTGATGCGGTATGAAATAGATTATTTCACAAAATGGTTTCCACCTATAACCTTAGTTGTTTTGCTAACAAAAAAGACTGAATTTTTCCAAGAAAATGGAAATTTCCTTAAAATATATTAACTTTAAACACATATTACAGAATAGCCGCCGGTTATGACCAGTGGCTTCTCACAATCTGTTGCTTCGGTTAAATCTTTGATGTCAGATTCGTCCAAATCGTTTTCGAGACGAGAGTGTCAAAAGTTTCAGGACGCTCAAGAAATCAACACAATGCTTTTCCGAGGGCCATAACTACTTTGTTACAAAATTTGGACGCCACCGTTTAATCTGGGCAGCTTTTCTCAATTCTTTCTTTTGATTGTACGCAAATTCTCTGATTGAGGAAGTTAATTCTCAAAAAAATTCAAAGAGTTTCGAAAACGGTCAAATAATCTAATATTTACGGTCAAATCTAATCAAATAAATACTGAGGACACTAAACTTTTGGAGAAACTTGAGCGTAGCCGCTTCTGCAGGTGAACTTCACACAAGCTTCTCTAATTATTAAAACTAAATCTTAGATTTGGGTGATTAGTTTTTGAAAAAAGTCATTGAAAAACCAATAATAGCCAATAATACTTTCAGAAACAGTCAAAAAGTCAAATTTGACTTTCGACGGACGATAACTTTTTGTTAGAAATTTGATTTATACTAGGGAGCTTCTCTAAGTTTTTTTATTGAACCCAAAATCTCAGATTTGGGAGCGTAGTTTTCGCGAAAAAAAAGTTTCAAAACTGGTTAAAAAAATCAAAATTGACTTTTCTGAAGGTCCTAACTTTTTGTGTGAAACAATTTTGTTTGAAGTAGCTGCTAACTCAGGGAAACACCCTACAACCTGCTCTATCCATTGCACCTAAAACCTCAGATTAGTGCAAGTAATTTTCGAGAAACCAAAAAGATTGACACAGAGGCGAAGTTGTGCTTCGCAAACACTTGCGAGAACACGACAAAACAGCAGCTTTATAAAACCAAATGTGAAAAGATAGAAATAAGCCTCGCATTAGTAAGACTTTGCTACGTATGGGTTTCACACCTGCAACCTTGAGAACTGGAATCTCAAGCCCTGCCTTCTCGGCAACGAATGCTTAACAATCGGCATGCACTAGTCACAAAAATGCAGCTATATTTGCTAATAAATTGCCAATGAGATGCAGCAAAAAAGGCACCAAATACAAATAGACTAAATGTTGAAGTTAAAATTAGGAATACGACAAGCTGAAAGAAATTGGAAAACATAAAACCAAAATATGTATAACTTATGCATTTTAAAATTTTGCGAGATTTATTGAGTGAGAAAATTTCTCAAATAGAAATTTTATGATTGTTCTGTTGATTGAAACTAATAGCTTTTTTCGGTTCATTTGATGGATAAAGATACATTAATTGTGGTAGCTTATTACCATTCGAATGTCAAAGCACATGCTATCAAAAAGCTATAAAGGTGCCACCAAAAGTGGCAACAAAATTTTCGACTTAGGTTAGAAAAAAAATAGTCATACTATAACACTAACGTTCACTAATGTTCGCTTAGTTAAATAAACGAGCAAACATCAAAAATTTGACTGTTTCGAGGGCCATAATATTTGAGAAGAAAATTTGGGCTAGCCACTTACTCAAAGGAGTCTCCACAACCGGTCCTTTCGCATGAAATCAAGATCTTATATTTGGGAGGGTAGTTTTTGAGAAAAATCAAAGTTTGAACAAACGGTCCGAATATAAAAAATTTGATGTTTCCAAAGGCCATAAATTTTGTATAAAAAATACGCATAGCCACTTATATAATAGAGATTTCACAACTAGTCCTTTCGATTGAAATCAAAAATTTCCATTTGGGAAGGTAGCTTTTGAGAGATATCAAAGTTTGAAAAAACGGTCAAAATCAAAATTTTAATTTTTACGAGGGCCATAACGTTTTGAATTAAGAAATTTGGGTGTAGCCGCCAGTGCAAGGGAGCGTTCCACAGCCCGAGCTATCGATTGAACCCAAAATCTCAGATATGGGAGGGTATTTTTTGAGCAAATAAAAGAAAAAACATTGATTAAAGATACATTAATACCCCACAGATTTTCGAAGGCTGTAGAAAGTGGGTTAAAGTAAAAGAGATTGAGAGATTATCCAGCCACAGGAGACTGAGCGATCTTTCCATTGGTACCACTTTTTTGGAAATCGGCAGAGTAGTTTGAGAACATGAAATTGATTTGTATGTATGCACTTTTGATCATTCTAGGTTTGTAAGTTGATTTTTCCTGAAAAACTCAACTTGAAATAGGTGTTTTCACTAAGATCAATGTCAATTTAACATGACCAACAGACAATACAGTTAGAAAAATGTCACTTGTCTCAAGAAAACGATAAACAACACATTTATTTTAAAAAACTTTTTCTAAGAAAAACCAAGATAGCAGGTAGCACAGAAAATTCCGACCATAATCTTAAAAAATACATAACGCTTTTTCATATAGTTTTTCAAATTAGTTTTTTGCTAGAGTGATAAAAGGATCTGATGAAAAACAACAATTCTGGCACATTTGACAGTCATTGTAAAATATGCAAACCGGTCAATGGTTTTAGTCGAATGGTTTGTTCAAACTGTTTTGAAATTTTGATGTTTTGTATTCCGAAGATGGCGCTAAAAAATTTCTAACAAGTTTTTTCGACACCGGGACAGCTTATTGAAAATTTTTAATGTCCTTCGAATTAGGGCTAAAAGGGCTGCTCGCTCACCTCATTTGCTCGAAATAAAACCTAAAATTTCAACAGGTTTTTCTCGACAAATGGGATAATTTTTTGAAACTATTTTATGTCATTCGAATCACGAATAGAAGGGCTTCAATTTGATATATCACTGGACCCATTCCGATGGTTATCAAAAATCTCAACAGGTCTTTGAACTATACATATCTTTTTAGATACAATTTTTAGCTGAAAAATCTCTATTTGATAATTTGTTATTGTTTTGTTATACAAGCGTAATTTGCCTTCCAGCAGTCAACTTTTCCCAAAAACTACGCAAAATCTTCAAAATTAAAGAATGCTTTTGACGGAAAAGGGGCATCGTACAACTCTATTTTATTAAAATTCAATTGTACCAAACAGTTAGCCCTAGGTAAATACATGTAACTTCGAGAAAACAAGCGACACGCTTAAGTGAAAAATGACGCAAACCTTCCACGCTTAGAAATATTATCAACAGACTCGCACATTTCTTTCATGACACAATTTAGGAAACATTCATAGCATGTTGTGAACATTAGCTATTGGCATCAATCCAAGACGTCGAGCCTAACCGATTTCCTTGACCAGAAAAATCAATTTCTCAAAATTGTTATTTTTATCAAATCACTTAGCCCGTAGCGTTGCAGTAATTATAAAAAAATAATCAAGATACGTTTGAATCAAAATCATAGCAAGATTGAAACTTTTTTTGTGTTTTTTTTTGAAAATCAGATGCGTCTGCAGACAAATATAGTATGGTGCAGGGGCTTATTGAAACTCTTTCCAGCCAGCAGATGATAAGGCATATTGTCTCGTCTCTCCTCTACTTTCAGCTGAGTCTCTTTTTCCAATTGATTTAGAAAGTGCGGAAAACCGTAGAAGTTCTTTAGCTCATCTGTTTCCATAAGGTCTTCTCGAACCCCGAAAACGAAGAGAGCACCTAAAAAAAATTTATTTCAAACTGTGAAAGATATCAAAAATAATTCGAAATAACGCTTGCTAATCACAGAGCGGAAACAGTCGCATCACTTGCGATAGAAAAATACAAATGTTCATGTTCTATATTTTCTTTCAAAAATTTGACTTTGCCCAAAACCATAGTTGTTCTCTACTAAAATAAATAAGAAGAGTGAAGATTTTTCTGAAATTGCAATCTTCCCAAAAACATATTTTTTGTAAAAAGTCAAGGAGTCGCCATTCTGCAGTCAAAATTCTCCCAGCCAGCTCTTTCGATTGAAGCCTTCATTTCATATTTTAGGGTAGTTTCTTAGAAAATTCAAAAAGTTTCTGAAAAACAGTCGAAGTTCAAAAACCAGAATTTTCCGCGAATCATACATTTTTAAAAAAATTATTTGGGCGTAGCAGCTTATGGATAAGAGATTCATATAATCGGTAGTTTCGATTGAATGCAAAATCTGAAGATTTGGGAGGATACTTTTCGAAGGGCCATAACTTTCTGTGTTGAGAATTTGGACGTAGCCGCACATTCAGAACAGCTTTACACAAACCATTCGTTGGATTTAAAGTAAAATTTTACAAATGGAAATTGTTGAGTTGGTTCCACTGAACTAAAACTGTTGCAAAAAGTGAAAAAGAAAATCGAAAGCGTCAAAAAATATATAAAAAACCCTATCCAGTATATTTTCATAACACATGCTTTTGTCTAACAAACATTTTTTGGCCATCAAAACTAAACAAAAACACATAAGCTGAAAACTTGTAGTCGAAAAATAAATTGAAAAAAACAAGCAATTAAAAAAAGACTTCTATGCTTAACAAAGTAGGCCGATAAAAAAGGGTACCAGGTAAAAAAAGTCATTTTAAAAAATGGAAAATCAACCAACGGAAACTGGGCCGAAAAACCACGAACCCGAAAAAACTCAATGATGAATTAGTACTTTTGCGCTGGTTAATTCTAATTTCCAGAAATTAAATTCAATCTCCGCATAAAAATAATTTTTCAAGAAAATTTCTCGTTGATCTTCATATTGATTTGAATTGGCTATTTGATTTTAAATCCTAGTGTACAAATAAATAACGAATTTTTATATCGAAATAACTGCTGTTGTAACGCTTGAAAAAGTCATTACTTCACGAAACGTACTCCAGTTAAATACTACCTAGATGCGGTAGTTTCATTTGAATTTTCAAGACATGGAGCATGTCTTAAAATTTACATTACTATAAAATTGACTACTCTGTGAACAAAGTTATTTACGTGAAAAAAGTCTAGTACCCGATTGCAATACCATTGCTTATCGCAAGGGTAAATATGCAGTGCTATGAGAAATAAATTTACAAGCCAAACGAGAGTTCGAAAATTTTTTTCAAGGATGTAAAAAACTTCTGACAGCATTCGAAGCCCGGGCGCTTTCCAATGAAGGTACAATTTGAATCTGATTTGATAATGAACCAAGCTATCAATTGATTTTGTTGAACAATTGGTTAACCTGAAAAAATGTTCTATATTACGATTTGATAACACTTGCTAACCACAAGCGTTACAACAGCAATTATTTCGATATAAAAATGCGTTATTTATTTGTACACGGGGCTTTAAAATCAAATAGTCAATTGAAAATCAATATGAAGATTAAGAAAAAATTATTTTTATGCGACGATTGAAATTTTTTATTTATGGAAATTTAAATTAACTAGCACAAAAATTACTAATTCATGGAGAGAGGCGAAGCTGCGCATCCCAAACACGAACGAGATAAGGACAGAAAAGCAGCTGTATAAAATGAAATTAACGAAAATATAAATGAACCTCGAATTAATAAAATTTTTTTACTACGTATCGGATTCGAGGTTTGAGGTCTCACACCCATCCCTCTAAGCCACGGACGATTAACGATCGTCAAAGACTAGCCAAAGTAAGGCAAAGAAGATGTTATGAAATCTCCAGTGCTAGATTGTTATTATAGCATAAGTTCCACCAAATGAGCACTTTTATTGGCGAGCTAGGATGGAAATATAAATAGAGTCACACTGATACACTACTCTCGCTACTTTTAAAAGCCAGAAGTTATTTTAAAAGCCAGAAATATTTCAAAACCAAACGCGTCGACCGACCTGGTCGCATCACCTTGAGCACATTAGGGATGCAGTGTGCTGTTACGTGACCGAGGGTGAAGGTACCAGCACATACTACGAGGTCGTAGCTGCATTCGTCCAAGGGCAGTGGTTCATTAAGACTGGCCTGTATGCAACGAGAATAAAGTCCCAGAGATTTGGCCTGAGCCAACATCTCCCGGCTCAAGTCCAAAGCGTCGATTCGTCTGAATTGGAAGGGGACAAGAGCTGTTGCTACCAATCCAGTTCCTGCTCCAATGTCCAAGACATCCACGCCATCGGTCGGCTTCGTTTTAACACTGGAAATATGTACCTCATTGAAATCATCAGTGGCCTAAGCAATTACAATCAATTAATATTTTTAATTGAATTTTTTTATAGATTACATGGAAAATCAGCCACATACATCGTCCTTTAATCATCGAGTAAATCCGATAATCGTTTTATATTTCAGAAATTAGGAATCTATTTTCAATGCAGAGGCGAAGTTGCACTTCGCATACACAAGCAAAAATATGACCGACAACGCTACTAGGAAAAACTGATTGAATAAAACTTTGAGCAAACAAAATTTCTTCGGTGACGCACGCCAATTATGAGTCTACATAACTGCTAACTGATGCAAGCTAATTATGATGCATTAGCAGTACCAGTCAATTTGAAAAGAAACTTACCAACTAACATGCCTCAGTTTATAGAGGACGCATTTTAATTAGGATACGAAGAAGTTCATCAAAAACATCCGACCCTGCCCAGGCTCGAACCCTCTTATTTTGCTGCAGGTCTCCTTCCCTACCTCTACGCTACAGAACTATGATACATTGAAGCTAAAGTGCTATTTGTAATGCAATAGTCTGTGTTAAAATCCTCAGCATTGGCTGTACTTAATAGCTGGATCAAAATGAACACATTTTGTCGCAACAATTGCATCGCAACAATATTTGGTACTTAGATTGGAAAAAAAAGAAATTTCATACTATCACAGAAGCTATGCTTGTGCAAACAAAGTTCTATTAGTTTCATACGAACTCTATTAGTATCTCTCAGAATTGTACAAAAAAATCAATCCTTTAAGAGAGTTGAATTGCAGATAAAAGTTCTTTAAACAGAAAAACGCCCATGACGCAGAGGCTTAACTGCACTTCAAACCATAAGAAAAAATTACAAAAGGCAATAAAAGGTTTAATCGCGAAAATAGGCTTTAAAGCGCTGTTTTTGTTGTTTGTAGCTGCAAAGGGAGGGGTCGTCCAAGTCGTGTCTCAATTATCGTTTCGTTTCAGTATTCCACAATCTAAGATTGCGCAAATTGATTAATCGTTTCGTATCGTACGCCAAACAGTAACTATGGTTCTCCCAGATTTTGCTGTGAGCGAGAAGGCCCCTTCTGACAGTAGCGTTGAGCCCGTTCTAGGGAGCAGTTTTTAATTAGTGCGAAGAGCTGAGAAAAACCTCAACCCTTTATCTTGGTAGGTTAAGCCTTTTTACGACTGCAACGGGGTTGTCCCACAGGTCGTTAACTTGATCGTCAGGTCCTCGTACACATGTTAGCTTCGTGAAGCTTTGAATTACTAAAAAAATGGTTACAGGTTTCGAATCGCTAGCTTCCGAACAAAACTCTCAAAGTAACGTACAAGAGAATTGAGAAAAGTGTCATGAACAACTTCAGCTCCCATTTGGACCCTTACCCTGAGTTTCACCACCTGGCAGCGCCCCCAAGTGAAACAGAACAATGCGCTAAGAGCAACATCAGGGTGCTTAAGAATGAGTGACATCACACATCTGCACGACGAAACTAACATTATGACATCTGCGCAAGTTGTTACATCGGACAACACAACACCGATGATCCATTTCATTTCTGGGTACTCCCTACCTCCCTTACAATTGAGAGCTTGTAAGATAATCCCGAAGAAGCTGCCAAACATCTGCAGCGTAACACATAGACTTCCAGAAAAGGTTTTTTCCTCGGTTCTCTCTACTAACTGAAAACTCTCCGCTTGAATCAGGCACGGAGTTTCAGTCATCTCTCCGCACCCCGAATAACCAGTCCTCTAGAATGGACATGTTTTAATAACATAAAAGCCTTCCTCTTGAGTGTACCATACAGAGAAGTTGTCGACACCAGCAAGAAGACGCTATCACTGGTACAGGTGGTTCGGTTTCTACGCCAGGTTTTCCCCTTAGAAATCCTGGAGATAAAGCAGTGAATAATTGTACGAGATAAAAAAAACAATTATTAACGCATATTCTCTATCTCTCAAACATAAGCGATCTATCCAATTCAATCAGAAATTCAAAGCAGAGATCGATGTAGCTAGAACAACAACAACAACAATAGTTGTGCACTTATTTGAGCAAATTAGGTTGGAAAAAATAACTTGTATTATAACACAAGTGCTTGTTTATGCAGATCAGACAAAACGCGTAGTTTCTGATTGTAAAAATTCATCCAATTATGAAAATGACAGAAATACGTTTTCCTTAAGAAACTTATATTTTGTAGAAAGCTGACCGCTGGGAATTTTTTGGGAAAATAAATGACAAATCAGAAAGATTTCAACCTGGCTAATTAGACAATCGACTTCACTGTAGTAATAATCTTGCACCACCTTTGCCAGCGATAAGTGTCCGACATATTTAACATCTTCCTCGATGTCCTTTTCAAATGACTCCGCCCATCTGTCGTATACACTGCGCATCTCACTCTCCTCAGTATGCAGTCCCACATGCCCTAGACTTTCTGCACGACCACCAGTGATCTTAGAATCTCCACTGTTTATCCCGTCATCTGTTTTAATACTCATGACAACAGAGTAGCACAAGCTACTTTCAATTCAATATAACTTCACCGGTTTGCCGTTCAATTTAATAATTTTTCGATCTACAACCACGGCCATTAGACACGAACTATTGGCAAACTTTCTGAAAAAAGTTGCAACTGATCAAAAACATGTAAAATGCCGAAACATTTTTACGAAAATGTCGAAACAATTTTACGGAACTATCCTTTTTCTTACTTTGAATCCTTCGAGTTGTTCGGTAGCGCGGTCTAAGAGGTTACGGTACCGTTTTTGAGTCTAAAAAAAAAGAAATTGCGCCGTGGTTGTATCAGTACAAATACAAGAACTACTGAAGAGATAAATATTATCGTTGCAACTCTCTCACTTTAGCACTAGCTTATAAAACTAAATCGGTAAATAAAACCATCAGTTCAAGCTCAAAGCATCAATATTGAAAGTTCATATCTTTATCTTATGAACGTACGCTACTAAACAGATCAACCCAATATTCACTATATTGAGCTAATACCTATTATACAAATAAACCAGCAGTAAAATGCTTTTATACAATAATCCGAAAACGAATTTGTTGCTACTTGCAAATTTTTCCAAATACAAATTTACGACAACATTTTGGAATTTTTTCATGTACCCGGAAGAAAAACTGAACTTACTAAACTTGCCCAGAGATGTAAACCTAATAAGTGCCCTACCCTGATTACCGTTCCCTTCATTATTGACTAGCATCATTTCTGAACCACTATATCGCATAAAGGCAAACAAAACAGAAAACAATAGCAGCGAAAAGTTAACGCCAAAATCAAGGATTTGAATTTCTAAATTCTACACTCGCCACTAATTTCATCACTAAAAATTTCGCGCTGAGCGGAAAACCTGCTGGGGGTTGGTTTAGAAATAACCATCCCCGGTAATGAAGAAGCCATTTCTCTAATGAAGACCAAGAATCAGGTCTATCGTTTAACTTAAAACTCTACGGCACCCGTTCTAACTGCTATTGGTGGACTGAGCTTCTATCCAAACACCAAAATCTGAAAAACTTCAAAACCTCCTCGAATGTGGGTCACCCATAAACAAGCGTGAAATCATCCTGTGGCACGATATTATTAGCAGCTCTATCAACGGTCACATAAGCAACAAAAGTTCAAAAGCCAAATTCGCGCAAAGTATTGCGAAATCTAACACAGTTATTAAACAACTTAAAACTGACACAAACGATCATAGAAAAACAAGCTCAAAACTTTCATCGAATCATTGAGTTCTGTAAAAAGTGGCAAAGTGGTTAAAAAAATCAATCCACCCTGTCAAATCAAATCCAACTCGGCATACGAGTACGTGGTATTACGGAAGAAACGGGAAGTCCAGACGAGCAAATGCCCTCTAACACATTCGCCGTAAAAAAACTTCTAAAATTTTTGAAAATCAAATATAAACGTCTAAGCAAAGTCCAACGCCTAGGAAAAATCAAAAACGACATTGGAGGGTCTCAGCCTAATTGTTGTGATAAACTTATTAAATAGTTTCATATAAATGGCTCCGATCAAACGCACGAATCGAGCAAATTCAACTGCTGAACAAGATGTGTGTAACAAATGTTCTGAGACGATTGGTGGATGGATCTTCTGCTACTCGTGTAGGAAGTGGATGCATGACAAGTGTTGTGGAATATCACCAGAACTCGTTCAACAGATCACCATGATTGACAACATTCAATACGTCTGTGGTGAGTGTCTGAAATCCAATGAACCAATCAATCAGAAAATCTTGGACAACACCTTGGATAAGGTTATTACTCCAAAGATCGAAGTTATTTTATCTAATTTTACCGATAAACTTACTGAGAAATTTACTGAAATTGCTGGTACAGTTTCGAGCTCTGCTCAAACATACGCCGCAGTTGCTTCAACTCCTACTACAGTTCCAGCAATTTCTTCTCCTGTCGATAATACTTGGACTCGTGAATTGAAAATTGATGGTATATCCGAAAACAGAGGTGATTTCAAATCGCAAACTGAATCTGATATTCACCATATTACTGCTATTTTGAATCACCTAGGTGAGGATTCTTTTGTTAAAGTTAGATCTTTCAAGCGCCTGGGAAAACGTATTGCTACCAGTACGCGCCCACGCACCTTACTTGTTGAATTTACTTCCCAATTTGACTGTGTCAAAGTTTTATCTAAAGCTTACAAACTGCAATCCTTTCAATCTCCCATTTACATTTCAAAATCTCTGTCTCCTACTGAACAAATCAAATTGCGTAAAATATTGAAACTGAGGACTGATGTTTCCACCAAAGACAACATTCCAAAGAGCGATCTCAAGATAAAAAACCTGAAACTTTACCATAATAATGTGGAAATTCCGTTACCCGAATGACTAGCGGATTTGAGGTTGTGTCTTATCAACGCTCAAAGCTTGATAACAAGTACTCAACGTCTCAAGCTACGCAACTTTCTGCTTTCTAACAACATTGATTTACTGTTTATCACCGAAACCTGGCTCTATGATGAGATAGAGAATCACGAAATCTTCCCTGCTTCTGGCTATCACGTCCTCATGCGAATTGACAGAACTTCAGGAGCACATGGAGGAGTGCTTATTGCTGTCCGTGTGAGCCTGGAACTCAGTATTTTATCATCCTTTTCTTACTCTGATTTTTGCTGTTCTATCATTATTAATTTCCATAAAGCATTTTATAGTTTCTTATTGATTTACAATCCACCTCAAACTTCATTATTCAGAGTTGATTCTTCTGTGCTTGTTGAGGCTATGTTTAACCACCGTGATGAGGTTGTAAAATGTCTCGGTCGCAAAGTTGCGAAAGACCGAGTTGTTACCGCAGTTCTCGGTGACATCAACCTTCCTGATGTCTGCTGGAGCTCACACACTGCTACTTCTGATTATTCAAACAAATTTTTGACAGCACTAGATGATCTTGACTTGCTTCAAATTGTTGATTTCAGCACCATAGTTTCGGGCAATATCCTTGACTTGCTCTGCGTTTCAGATCCTCATCGATTCATAGTTTTTCGAGGTGCCACTGCTTTTTCTGATCATTTTCCTGTTTTTGCGCATGTATTTGCTGCAAGTTCAATTTCACATTTTACTACAAAGCGATCTGTCACTTACTCAAAAAGTAGTCTTAATTCAGAAAGTTTCAGTCGGGCTATATCGCCCTTATACTCTATCTTGCATTCTAACTGTCATAATGAGTTCATTGACAAGTTCAACGAAACTGTTTGTCAAGCACTTGATTCTTCATGTCGTAAAATTACGACTCGCAGAAAAGATTTTCCGTTCTATTTTTCATCTCATTCTATTCATATTGCTAATAAACTGAGAACTCCGAACAATTTGAATTGTTTTAATCGCCAATATCTGTCTCAATTAGAGAATGATTTCTCAAACTCAGTTGAACTCGATAAAACTCTGCTGATTCAACGTTTTTCGCCGAATTCTTCCAAGCATGCTTTTATGTTTCTGGACCAATTTAAATCAACTCAACCTGTCCCTACTAAACTTTTTTGGGGACGCAAACAGGTCGAGAGCGATGTTTTAATTAGTGAGACTTTCAATCAATATTTCGCTTCTGTTTATCAATTATCTGAAAATAGTCCTTCTGCTGGTGGTGGTTTGGCTGATTCGGAAATCAAACTTTCCGAAGTTGATGTCTCCCCCAGTATTGTTGGCGAGCTCCTGGCTAAATGCAAAGAGACTCGTTCTACAGATAATATACCTGCATTCATTTATAAATCCTGTCACAGCATTCTTTCTCCGCTTGTTTCTTTCCTTTTCTTATCCATTATACAATCTTGTGTTTGGCCCGATTCCTGGAAAACTGCACTCATCACTCCTGTTTTCAAATCTGGTTCTCCTTATGATATTACTAATTATCGGCCAGTTAGCATACTTCCTCCTCTTTCGCTCATCTTCGAGCGTATTTTGTTCAATTATATTTACCCTCGAGTCCGATACAAAATTTCGAATGCTCAGCATGGATTCCGCAAGAAGCGTTCCACCATAACGCAAATGCTCTCATATCTAGATGAAGTATATCACACTCATGATGCCAAAATTCCTTGCGCTGCCATGTATTTCGATTTTAGCAAAGCTTTCGATTCTGTCAGGCACGACATTCTTGTACAGAAGTTTGCTGCTTTTGGTTTTGACGATATTTTTACCGCTCTTTTGATTTCTTATCTTTCAAACCGTTTTCAATGTGTTAAAGTTCGAACAAGCATTTCCACCACTTTACCAGTTACTAGTGGTGTACCTCAAGGGAGCGTACTGGGTCCTCTGCTTTTCATATTGTTTATTAACGATCTTCCTGATATATTTAATCATTCAAACTGTTTTCTTTTCGCTGATGACTCAAAATTCATTTGTAAGACAAATTGCAGTGATTTACAGTCTGATGTGGACAGTTTCACTCATTGGTGTACTCAGAATGGTCTTAAAATCAATAAAGACAAGTGCAATTTCATTATATTCAATGGCAAATTTCCTGATTGTATTTTTGTTAACAACCAACCTATTCATTCTATTAATTTACTCAAAGACCTTGGTCTGCTTGTTAGCTCTGATCTTACTTGGTCAAACCATATTGGTAAAAAAACTTCTATCGAGCAATAAAAGCTTTCATTTTATCAAACTTTCTATTCCATATCACATTCCACTTTCTGTTAAACTCATGTTCATCAATACTTGTGTTAAAAGTTTTTTATTGTATGCTAGTCCTGTGTGGTCTCCCTCTTTAACTATGTTAAGGAAGCTTGAGAATTTCAACAGGAAATGTCTTACCTGGGTTACAGGTAATTTACCCTATTTAAAGCAACTTTCTTTAACGAATTCGCTTCCCATATCCTTCACGCTTATATTTAACGACCTTATCCTTTTCCACAAAATGTTAAATGGCGACTCAGAACTCCCTTTTGCTGCGTATTATTATTTTAAGGTGACGACATCAAGATCCAGCACGTTGATGACAGTGAAACCCGCAAGAAGATGGTAAACCGAGACGTTCTTCACCCACAGAACAGCACGTGCCGTGAACTACATGCTGAAAACAACGGAGATCGACTTTTTCACCTCTTTGCGCCGTTTTCGCAGTACCCTCAAAGACTTCTTACTAGAGCGCTCTAAACTCTTCAATCGTGAAAACTCATGCACTTGGTTTTTGAAGTGCCGTTGCTCTTTCTGTAGATCCTAGTTTTGTTCATCTATTTATATAAATTATGCCTTATTTTTAATAAGGGAATTAATTCTTTTTTTGTTTGTTTGTTTGTTTTAATTAATCTTGAAAGTTCATTGAGTAACAATCTTGCCCTGAAATCTGCCTTTCGTTTGAAATATGCTCAACATGTGGTGTTTCTAGGTCGCGAACTATTCCCCTTCGATACCAAAA